CTTTCCAATCTTTATTTATAGTTAAGTTAAAAAATAATAACTAATTTGAAGCAATATGATTAAAGTGGCATAATTAAGGAAACAAATATTTCGTATTTTGAAAGGCTAATATTGTTTTTTTTTTTATGAAAATTAAATAAAATCGATAATATTTAGTTTGATGTCAATTATGAAATCAATACAAACATTTAAAAAAAATCAGATGTACAATAAAATATTGTGCACCTATTATAAAAGCTACCATGTAATGAATGAAAGTTATTTATGCTTTATTGATAAAATTTACCCAAAATAATGTAAAATTTTTTTATACAAAAGTTTTTGATAAAAATACAAAATAGTGTAAAAATTACTTTTATCGTTTGTTGTACTCCTTGACAAATACTGAATGATGAGCCGAAATGTTGTCTTGGAAAAAATACATAATCTTGAACATAAATTTAATTTTAATCGGCCTTTCATTTTCTATACAATGTCTTTTACAATGACCTTTTGTTTTTCTTGCATAAAAAATAAAAAAAAATAAAAAATAAAAAAACCTCTGAACCAATAACCAATCTAAACAAGAGGAATAAAAGTTAAATTGAATTAGACATTTGACGGAAAAGGGATAGATATAAAATGTATTATAACTATTACTCATGTTTTAAATTGTAATATTCGTATTAACAATGCAATTACTTATGAATTTTTTTTTTAGAAAAACTAACATTTTGATTTAAAAATCGAGCATTGCTCATGTACTATACTAGATATACAACAATCATGTGCAATAATTTATGTTGTTTTATACATAATAATACTTTTAACTATAATAGTATGTGTATATAATATAATATTTTTTATAATATAAAAAAGTATACGTATATAATATAATATTTTATAACACTTGTCCTCCATACCAAGTGTAGTCTCAATCACCACTACACCAACAGGTTGTTGGTGTAGTGGTGATTGAGACTACACTTGGTAGGGAGGACCAGTGTGCTCCCCTGCAACAACAATTGGAAGGGGAGTGGAACCTAATAACCTAGAACTGATCCTCAAATCTGGAAAGGGTGAACCGGATAGAACACCCAAAAATCAATGCATATATGACGGGAATTAACTTATCCTTTATCTATCTTATACAAAACTCCAAAGTCTATTTTTTTTTCAAAATATGATAATAACATTTGTAAATTTTTGTTAATATGAAAGATATAAACCTATCAAAATGTATATATAGTTAAATTGTTTAATAACTTCTATCGAATGCGTAGTTTTATTAAAATTATTTGCATGTAATCATTAAATGTGTTGGATGTTGTGTAGCTATGCAATGTCCAAAACTTTAGTTGAGCCACTTTGATTTATTGATTGTATGGTAAAAAGATATTGACTTTGATCTTGAAACCTAATAGTCTAATAAATTCTAAATAGAAAAATTAAAACAAAAGGAAATAAAAATAGTAAATGGCTTTAAATATTGAAATAAACATAACCTTTTAAATCAATTTAGAGAATTCAAGAGACAATTTTAAGGCATTTAAAATTAAATGGGGGAAAATATATGTAAAACGAACATTTTAAGATATATAAATATTCATGCACTATTACAAGAGTTTTGTTAACCTTTTTAGATATATACTTTTGAAGGAAATAAAAATATTCAAGGGCCGTTTGGTTGGGGGTGTTCAGGAAAGGGAATGAGAATCAATCACCCCGATTCCCTTTGTTGTTGTTTGTTAAGCACTTTCTTTCATTCCCTTTACCCCCCTTCATTCCCCAAAATCCCTCTAACTCCATTCCCCACCCCCCTAGGTATTTCCATTCCATTCCCTACCCACCTTCACACCACCACATCACCACCTTCACACCTACCAACACCACCGGAAACCAGCCCGCCTTACCACCGTCGACACTACCCCGACCACCGCCCCCCTCCCCCGACCACCGCTGCCCCTCCCCCGACCCTCACCGCCCTCCCCTACCCCGCAAAACATCCCACAGCCCCCGCAAAACCCCTCCCTATCCCCGTAAAACCGCCGCCCAGCCCTCCCACCACCATCGCCGACCCTTCCCCGAGCCTTGCCACATGTCCTCTTCCCCGCAAAAGCATTCCTCCGCCACTTCCTAAACCCCTCGTCGATCTAGGTTTTTTCGATTAGGGTTTTTTCGGGGCTGTGGAAGGTTTTGCGAGGGGCGGGGATGGCCGAAGAAGGGAGGCGAAGGGTGAGGGAGGTGCGGCAACTGGTTTGGTGGTGGTTCGGTGGTGGGAACATTAGAGAATTAATGTAACTGGTGGTTATTTGTGTGGTGGTGGGACAGGTGGGTCTCATTCCCTTTGTTTTTAAAACAAACAACACCCCAAATTTTAGGTATTTTCATTCCATTCCTTCTCTTTCCATTTGTTCATTCCATTCCGATTACCCCGTGCGATCCAAAAAAACCCCTCAATGTAATGCTTTCAAGTGTTATTTTAGGTTTCGCCTTTAGTAATAAGTAATAGATTTTATTATGAAATTTCCTTCATGAACAACAATTATTTCCCTTTGTTAAGTTTTCCTTGATAAAACTTCAATAAAAAAAAACTTTTCCTTGATATTTAAATTTAGTGCTAAAGTTTATTTGATTATGCATGTAATAAGTAGCATACCCTAACTTCCCCTCAAAAAATGTAGCATACCTTAACTATATAAGTAATATAACTATGGTAGATTAATCCAATGTGGACCTTTTCAATATGATATTGGATTATTAATTGGGTATATCAACTCAATTGTAATTTCAATTTTTTTGGATTTCCAAACAAAGGGATTTTGAAATTGGAATCATTCCTACGAATATTGAAACAATGTAAAGGATAATGATATAATATACTCGCACTTATTTATAAATTTGTAAATAAAGTAAAGGAAGAATTGAGAACAACCATATCTTAGTAAGATTATCGATCGGCTTGTCCTCACACTCTAGTTTGGCCTGTCACAATCTCGTTGACGAATCACCAATTGCCACGTATTAAGCAAGTGGAAAATTATCTTCTTAATTGTCACTTTCCTTGCTTTTCTAAACTTGTTTCCTCACAATTTCCTTATTTAATTTAAATGTCTAGGTCTAGCTACTTCAACACCTAAAGTAAACAAACATGGGAAACTACGTGCATGAATTATTATTCATTTTAGAAAGTATATGCTACATACCTCCAAACAAAAGCAAATGAAGCTACATGAAATTTCCTTCATGTATTTTACATTTTTGCCCTTGGATATAAATTTTCTAAATTGAAGTTAAAGTAATGCGAAATATGACATCCAACATTACAAGTCAAAATTAGAAATTTACCTAATAATGTTTCCACAAAATGATAATTTGACCATAAAGTTCAACTTTTTCTCATTCTATGAATTGATTATTACTCCTCATTAAAAGTCAGAGGTATTTAGAAATTTTCCTTAGAATGTTTCCACAAAATGATAATTTGACCTAAATTTCAAATTTTCTAAGTCATTTAAATTATTTAGCTTATAAATAAAACAAATTTATATTCACTTGGTATATTGCAATAACATATTTAAAAATCACAATTACTACAAAACACTACTCCCATAGTCCTGTAAATATAGGGAAAAGAAAATGAGACTATTAGCTAGCTTTTTTTTCAAAAAAAAAAACTATTCATTAATAATAAGTCATAAGACATTTACAAATGAAATCTAAATAATTAATACATAAAATACTAGCTAGCTATATAAACAATTTTATAATATCTTATTAAATTTGATTCAATGTATATATTCCGTTATGATTTCATACTTGTTATAAATTTTGAGTCAATGTGGAAATTTTTTGAGAAAAAGGTTATAATTCGACTAATGGATGGAGGACTTTCACAAAAAAGTTATAAATCAGGTCTCTTCTTATATCTTTTTTTAAGGGTACGTAGTTTATCGTAATAACTCAATTATAAAAATGTGTTTTTTTGACAAATGTTTCAAGACTGAACTTAGGGCGTGTTCGGTGCTAGATTTTAAGTAGCTTTTAGTGGTTTGACCAAATCAAATCACTACTTGACAAAAAATGTGAGTGTTTGGCAAAGTAGTGGTTAGGATAGCTTTTAGTGGTGGAGTAGCTTTTATGAAAAGCTTTAAAGATTAGCTTTTGAGGTAGCTTTTGAAAATTTAATCTATAATTTTAAAAATAAAATGTTGATTTTTATATGTAACAGCTAGTCAACTGTTACTTTACCGAACCCACATATCTAAATTATTTATCTTCACAGCTAACAACTTATTGACAGCTAACAGCTTGTTGACAGCTCACAGTTATCTCCATAGCTACAGCTACCTTCACAACTATATTTTGCCGAACATACCCTTAACAATGACATTGTAATATTAAAATTATATTTTATTAACTTTAAATGATTAATTAATCAGATCTTTTTATTTTAAATTTTTTTCTTAAAAAGTGGTTTTAACAAATTTTGTGAGGAAAAAATACAAAGTAATTTATACAAGGGCGCGATTTACATGTAAATTGCTAAAAGAAATAAAAATTCAATAATTACAGTACTCCATACTTTGTATCAAAATTAGATCTTCTTTATCTATTTTTTTTCTTAAAAAAAAATCTGGTTTAGAACAAAACCGAATCAGCAATTTTACGTTTTACTTTATATAAAACCACAAATTATAAAATCTACAATTTTTGATAAGGTGATATTTTTTACATAAATAAAAAATTAATTGGTAAAACCGCTCTAAACCCCCCAAAAAATTATACGGAGTATTTAGAAAGGACGATGACTTTGACAGTATGTAGGAAATTTTGATACTCCGTAAATAGTACTTAAAGTAGTAACATAATTATGGAATTTTGATTTTTTTTTTTTAAAACAATTTTCATGGAAATCACTTAAATACTTAATTATACGGAGTAGGATTTATAGCAAATGTGAAGTTTCCTGACGGAAAAGACAAAAATGCCCTTGAAATAGCTTCCCCGAAACAGAGTAGTAGTTACTGAAATTCGGCCGACCTGTTAAACAAATGTCTGATACAATATACACGGTACATACACATACTCATTTCACACCCCATGTCTCTTTCTCCGCAACTCCCTTCTTCTTTCCCTTTCCTTCTTTCCTTCTCATTATTTATCCCCTTCGCTCTTCATCCAACTCAATAATCACAACAAAAATCCGAAACAAACCCAAGAAAAACTCATCTTCTAATCGAGGAGTTTCCTTGTTTTACAAAGGATAACAATAATGGCGTCTTCAAAGAAGAACGAGCAACAACAACAACAAGTATTCCAAGATCAACTCCCATTAATGGCGGAAAAGCTAGGAGGAGACGGCTTAATCGGAGAATTATGTAAAGGGTTTGAATTGTTGGTAGATAATGATAAGGGTGTTATTACATTTGATAGTTTAAAGAAGAACGCAGCTATTTTGGGGTTGCAGGATCTTACAGATGATGATTTGAGAAGTATGTTACGCGAAGGCGATTGCGATGGCGATGGCGCGCTTAATCAGATGGAATTTTGTGTTTTGATGTTTAGGTTGAGTCCTGAGTTGATGGATGAAGCTGAGTTTTTGCTTCATCAAGAACTTCAATTTTTTTGAATTTTTTAAAAAGTGGTTTTTTTTTTTTGGGGGGGGGGGGGATTTTTGTGCTTCTTAGTTTGAAGCAAGTTTGTAATTGATTATTCTTTTGGCCATTTTTAATGATGGATTTATACATTATACATGATTATATTGGGTCTTATGAGAGTGATTGTTAGATTGGTTGCAATGAAGATGATTAGCACATACAAAGTATACAATTAAGAAAGAAATATATGCATAATTTTATACGGATTAAAGTATTGGTTATGTTTATTGATCTATCAATGGTTTCAATTGGAATTGGCAATATGATCAATTTTAAATTTATTGATTGTTATTTTTGGGATTTGATTAATTTTTGTACCAATATAAATATCTTGCTCATCTTAATTATTGTTACGGAGTTACTAATTGGCATTTAATATTTTGTCTATTTGCTATCATCTACAATTTGAGAATAACAAATAGTGTCAAACTGCCAATCAATTCAAAATTGTGACTTGGTGAGACTACACTAACATTATTAAAGTCAAAAGTTACAAAAGGAAAAACAAATTTGTAGAAGTCATGCAGCCTATTACGCCTTGCAGGCCTAAAGTAAATGACAAAGACAGTCACCACTCACCAATACAAAAGTCAATTCCAGCCTATAACGCTGTTTGGTCCTCCTGTTGGCTCGGAATCTAGGCCCATTTCAATTACTATCCCAAACTCCTAACAGAGGTTGTTCAGGACATAAATACATAATAGTAGATAGGGGTGTCCATAATTCGGATAAAAATCGAAATCCAATCCAATCCAAATCGAATTATCAATTTGGATCGGATCCGAGCTTCAAATTGGATCGGATCGGATTGAGATTTTTTGAAAATTCGGATTTTCGGATTGGATCGGATTGACCCTAATAGGATCCAATCCAAACCGAAAACCGAATTGTAAAATTAAGCTTGTATAAATATGGATTTCTGTATATTTTGAAGTTTATAGCTCAAATACTTACTACCACATAAAATAAATTAGAGAGACTTTGTATTTTTATTTTTTTTTGAAGGGTTGTATTAATTAATTAATGACTTGACGTTGAACTATTTATTTTAATCATGATTTTGAAGACTTTTATTTATAGTAAAGCTTTATTTTTATAATTGTCTTAGGCGCTAAAAAATAAAGTATTATAATTCGGATTTTCGGATCGGATCCAAATAGCCGAATTTTAATTCGGATTGGATCGGATTGGATCAAGAGAGAAATTCGGATCGGATCGGATTGAAAAATTGAAAACCGAATTATATTTCGGATTGGATCGGATTTGGACTAATCCAAACCGAAAACCGAACGGACACCCCTAGTAGTAGAAGTCATGCAGCCTATTGCTCCTAGCAGGCCTAATAGCTAATAAGTAGACTTGCGAAAATGCGGAAGAAACACTGTGTACATATACAAAGTACATGAGTAAAAAATAAAAAAATCAAAACCATTCTTTCTTTGAGTTAAGGGATTGATCTGTTATTTGTATTCCTTGATTTATGGAATTAATTTATTATTTACATTCCAGATTAATACTTTTGATAAACAAAATTTCATTTTTTGTTTTGTTAAGAGAGTAAATTTAGTTTATAGAGAGAGAAATCATGGTAAAATTTGAATTTCGCATTAATTTAATGTTATTACGGAGTTGATTTTATCGTTTTGATGAATCATTTAATTGAAAGACGTATCTGACAAATTCGTTGTTGAGAGAAAAGATATTTTTTTTTATTGTTATTTTCAAAGGTTGAAGATGATGTTCTTCATATTCTGATGAATGTTTTTTTTTACCATTTTATAATCGCAATGAAATATGTTTTTTTTTTTAGTCTAATCAATATGTTCTTTGAGTCTAAACTACATGTTCTTTATATTACAAACAATGCTCTTTAAGCTATATAAATTAATCGTGTTCTTCGGGTATATAATACAAATTATGTTCTTTTTACTAATGTAATATGTTCTTATAACTTGAATTTTGAATTTTTTATTTTTGAAATTTAAGAATGAAATTTTGGAATTATATTATTATATTTGTGAGAAAATAATTTTAGATAGAATTTTTTTTTTAGAATGTTTTAAAATTCTTTGACATTAAATTATTGGTAAACTCAATTAATAATTATCTTATTTCAAAAAAAAAATTAATAATTATCTTTTACCTTTTTAAAAAACTGGATCTCGATCATAAAATACAGTGTTATTTATATTTCAATGATTTGTTCTATTATAAATTCATGATATTCCTCATAATTATATACTACACTCTTTCCGCTTTAATCCGGGTGTACCGTGCGCATGGTACACCCGGGTGTACAAACCACTAATTGGACCATGTTTTGTGATTTATATGTAAAGAAAAATATAGTCAAATGTGATGATTCGTCACAATATATATTTTCAAAATATCAAATTTTTATAATTTTGGCTTATCGGTAATTAATGATTTAATTTTTGCATTGGCAAACGTGGCTAAAGAAACGTGTCAACTAAAAAGAAACGGATGAAGTATACATCTTCTTCATAGATTATCGTACATAAAATGTCAAATTTTGGTCAAATTAGACAGCCGGATCAGATCAAATCAGCAAAAATAAGGTGAGCTAAACAAGCCCTTAATGTTTTTTTATAAAAGAAAAGTATTGCATGCATACGGACGCAGAACTATTTGGTTCGAGAGGCTGGGCTGATATATTTTACTCATTGGCTGATATGTTTGATGTGTTGTCTAATATGTTTCATTTGTTGGTTGATATGATTTTTGTGTTGGCCAATATATTTCTTTTGTTGGCTGATATGTTTTTTTTTTCTCCTTTTGTTGGCTGATATCAAACATAATTTGGCTTATATGTTTCTTCAGTTGGATGATATATTTATTTTGTTAACTAATATGTATATTTTAATATTTGACTTATATGTTTAATTTTGTTAGCTGATATATTTATTTTGTTGGCTTACCTTGTTTGCTGATTTCATCCTTTTGTGTTGGAGGATATGCTTCTTTTGTTAGCTGATATGATTTCTACGTTGGCTTATATGCTCCTTCTGTTGGTTGATATAGTCCTCTTATTGGATGATAAGTATCTTTTGTTGGAATATAAATTCCTTTTGTTGGCTGATAAGTATGTATCTTTTGTTGGCTGATATATTCTTCTTACTGGATATTAGACATCAATTAGCTTATATGTTCATTTTAATGGCTGATATACATCTTTTGTTGGCTAATATATATGAACATTTCCACCTCACACAATATATAAACCCAATTACAAGTACTATTGATTACTTTGTAAAGTTAACAAGACTTTTAGAGCCTGTTTTCATACGTTGAAATTCAGCTCAGTTCAGCTCAGTTCAGTTCAGTTCAGTTCAGTTCAGCTCTTAATTTCCTTCTCTTATAAAATATTCATTTCAGTTCAGCTCAGTTCAGTACAGTTCAGTTCAATTCAATTAAGTTCAGCTGAGTTCAATCAATGAGAACAGGCCCTTAAAGCGTCTAATATGAAATTGAAATTATTTAAAGTATCAACCGGAATGAAACCTGGGTCACATACTAGTTCGATTTAAAATGTTGAAACTATAAATGCATATGCCATCAATTAATCCATCAATTATCAATTTGCCAAAATATGGTGACAAATGTAAATCAAATCATTGTCTAGACACTTTAACAATATCATCATATTGACCGTCTTTGCTGCCTAAAAGATAGTTACAATTCTTAACAATAAGAAAGTAAGTAATACCCCGTCAAAAAAAAAAAAAAAAAGAAAGTAAGTAATACTTCCTTCCATCACCTTTTAGGCTTCGTGTAATCACCTTATTTTAACTTATTTTAATAAAAATAAGTTCAGATCAGATAAAAAAAATAAATTCAGATCAAATCATCGTTTTATGTGCAGTTTTTTATCGCTAAATATTTTTAATTTCGTAATTAAAATTCTGAAAATCACATATTAATAAAATACACATTATTAAGAATCTAACAAGACACCACTTGATGTATTTTTTCCTTATAGATTATCGTATATTCAAGGTCAAAATTTGGTCAAATCTAACATTCAGATCAGATCAGACTAGATCACATAAAATCAAATAAATTCAGATAAGCAAATATAAAGCGAACTAAACAGGGCCTTAATGTTTACATTTGATATTTTATCATTTAAGAAAATGGTGAAAGCATAAACATTAAAAAGTGACAAATAGAGTACTTCATAAAGAACTAAATAATTTTAACTTTTAAGTAAAAGGTCCATTGTTTTGATATTATTGTTGTAGAGGCTTTTATGTAATTGGATCCTCCTCCTCCTCCCCTGAGCCTGCTGTCCTTATTTGGGTCACCAAAGAAGGAAAATTTTGGGCTGTGCTTATGGCCTTCCTTCAAGTAGTGCATGGCCCAGGGCAAAAAGTTTGCCCGCCCATTTGTAGTGCAAATTAGGCTCCTCCCTTGATCAAGGTTGTATTCCTTTCACCTTATGTTAACTCGTTTTATGGTCAATCAGTTTTAATAAGATAACATAAATTTAGGTTGTTTATAAAATATAGCATAAGAGCTTTAAGTAAGTTTTTATCTAACTAGTTCGTTCACGTGAACAAGTAATTATAATTTTATGAAATAAAGGCCTTGTTTAACAATTGGTTGTTGATTGTTAGCTGTTTCTCTTGGCCGATTTGACTAGTTATTTGTATTGGCTTTTCTTATTGGTTATTTGACTATTAGCTATTAATAAATATGTTTGGTTCATATAGTTGTTGGTTGCTGATTGTTTTATACAAAATTACCTTTAAGAACATTGGTATTTTATGCTATCTTTGTAATATACATAATAATAAAAAGATAATACCCACAACTACTATTATCATTATAATTATTTTTATTGTTATTGTTAATTATTAACGATTAATTATTAGGGAAAAGTAAGGATATAAAAGAAAATTTATAGATAAAAAGACAAAATTTAGTCCTTTTGTACATAATATTTAGTCCTTTTGTTTTTGGCGAAAAAGTCAGTTTTCAGCTAGCTGAAAATCTATTTACCAAACATATATTTTTGGTTGTTTGACCAAAATAATTTGCCAAATATTAGAGTTTGGTTTGGTTAATTATGTTAATATTGTATATTTGGAAAGTTTATTTTGTTAGGAGTTTTAGGCAAGTTAGGTTACATTACGTTTGATCAGTCAGAACAGTAAGGTTGGTTGGACGTTTGATTTATTTGTCGGTCACTCAATCAGAGTTGAGCAACTCGGTGCATGTTTTGGCACAGTTTTTGAGCGA